CAGAGGTCTATGTTCCTGGTAATATGTTCCTGTCCACAAGGCAGAGATTGTTGACTTTTCCTTTGTGAATTGTTGTTAATTCTCTAAATAGAAAATACATAATTGTCTCTAAAGAGTTGAGTACCAGCATTAAATCATGTTGTGTTCAGTAAAAACACTCTTCTCTCTCTCTGTATCGTAACATTAAAACCTGCGGCCTATATTCAAGTGCAGCCTATACATGCACAAATGTATATTCTTCTCATATATACAGTAGCTGATAGATAGATAGATACTTTATTGATCCCCGTAGGAGAAATTCAGGTGTCCAGTAGCAGCAAAATATAATTGATCATTCCAAAAAGCTAATAATAGTATTAATCAGCCACAGGCCTTCAGGAGGAGGAGCAGCAAAGATGGAGTAGTCTCTGGGTGGAGCAGGACGGGTCACAGCAGCAGAGGTGGAGTGTCCGCTGGGTGTCTCTCTCTGGTCTCTCTCTGGTCTCCCATGGTCTTTCAGTCTATTTCTGGTCCCTCTTCGGTCTCTCTATAATCTCTCTCTGGTCTCTCCCTGGTCTCTCTCGGGTCTCTCTCAAGTCGCTCTATGTGTTTATTATCAAACTGTTTGATTCTCTGATCTGTGTTGGCGAATCGACAGCTTTATAAAGTCCTCTGAGATAATTACAATGTGATTTAGGGCGATACAACAATCCACTGAATTGAGTGAGTAAGGGCAGGTACTTTATTCCACCACAAAAGCTGATCTCTAGACATGAAAGAGCCCAAACAAATGCTTTGGTGTGAAAACTAGTGATAAAAGCAAACACTCATGAGAACAATTACATAGATTTTATGTCAACATATTTCTTTTTAAATATTTCCTTTTTGGGGCGACAGTGGCTCAGTTTGGTCTGAAAGCCGTGGGTTTGATCCCCCCATGCGACCTACTCCAACTGCTCCCACTCATGTCTGCTGTCGTTGTGTCCCTGGGCAAGACACTAAACCCTACATTGCCCGAAGTCCCTGCTGAAAGACGAAGCCTGTGTCAAAGCAGCAGCCATCTTCATGGGGACTCACCCAGGACTCAGCGAGGGACTGGTGCTATGTGCACACGGCATACCCCCCCGGACCCGGAAATGGATCAATACAGGGGTCAAAAATGAATGATAGTACGCATTTATTTATTTGCATTCCCAAATGCTGTGTGCTCCCCCTTTTGACTCAGCGATTGAACTGACAGCAGATGCCTTTTCTCCGCCGCCGTCAGGTATCAGAAAGAGGCTGTGACACACGGCTGTCATGGGCTCGTCTGAATAAATGATTCATGGCAGACACTTGAGGAGCTTTGTGCGATTCTTCATCAGTCACTGTGGACACTGATGCAATTGTGTTCAGGGTGAAACCTCTGCACAAGATCACAGGCCTTTGAACATACTTTCATATCTCTGGACATTGTGGTTTAGATGAGAGATCAGTAAGTAAGAATTTTATTTCAAACTTATTAATAATTATAGTAATGCACGGTTTTATATTGCACTTTTTTGGACACTCGAAGACAATTCACATCTGACCCCGCTCCCATCTCTGTGTGGAGTGAGAGGACAAATGACCAAAAATAACAATTGTAAACCGCTTTGTGACTCTGGTCTGTGAAAGGCGGTATATGGCGGCACGGTGGCTGAGTGGATAGCACTCTCGCCTCTCAGCAAGAAGGTCCTGGGTTCAAATCCCAGTCGGACCAGGGCCTTTCTGAGTGGAGTTTGCATGTTCTCCCCGTGTCTGCGTAGGTTTCCTCCGGGTACTCCGGTTTCCCCTACCACTAAAAATATGTACAATAGTTCTAGCATGCGCCTCCTGTACTGGCAACCCCGCTCCCATCTCTGTGTGGGGTGAGAGACAAATGCCCAAAAATTAACAATTGTAAACCGCTTTGAGACTCAGATCTGCAGTGAAAAGGCGGTATATAAATAAAGATTACTTACTACTACTACTACTATATAAATAAAGATTTCTTACTTACTTACTTGAATATGTCAATATTGATTCCCTCTCTCTGGTCTCTCTCTGACCTCTCTCACTGGTCTCTCTCTCTCACCGGTCTCTCTCCTCTCTGGTCTCTCTCTCTTGTCTCTCTCTGAACCCTCTCACTAGTCTCTCTCTCTCTGGTCTCGCTCTCTGGTCTTTCTCCATCTTTACCTGGTCACAACAATGTTGTTTATCCTGGAATATTCCTCCATGTCCATTATATTCTTGTCTTTCTCTGCATTCAGTAAGCGCACCTGCTTCACTTCCTCCACCAGGTGTAGAAGTTGTTTCTGCTAGCCAACAACCTTTTAATTTCATCAACATCCTGGTTGGATGTTGGGGAAATTCCAACCAGGATCCTCAGCAGACGATGACGCTTTTGTATCACTTTCACTATCCTCATCACGGTTACTTCAGCAGACAGGGAAACAAGTGCTTTTCGCATTCCTCCCCGTCTTCTAAAGCAAGAGTCTTCTTTGTTGGCTTTGTAGCTAGGGTCTCTATTAATGCTTGGTCAAATAAGCAAGCCTGTTTTTTCTCCTCTTCTGCTTGCGCAAGGTTGAACGCACCCCAGTCCTTCAAGTAAATCAAACTACTCCAAGATCCAAACAAATGCTTGGTTGAAGTACTCCCAGCCGCTCTGATTTTGAGCCATACAAAAATTATGTGGGCAACAATGAAGAACAAAAGAAATACATGTAGGTACAGAGAGGAGGATAAAACTTATGTGCTACCACTCCTTTGCACCACACACACAGACACACACAAACGATCTCCTACTGGTTGTCACGGCTTGAACTGTAAAGGTACCACACACCCTCAGATTATATTCCCCTTCTCTGTGCTTAAAATGTTTTTGGATATTTTCCACTTGTAATTTTTTATTTGCTTCAAATAGAAGCTGAGCTGTACAAAAGTCAGCAAGAGCAACACATTTTATCAGTTTTAACTGAAGAGATAAAATATTAGTGTGATCACAATATCCTACCTTATAATTCTCACGTTTTTGGTGTATAACAAGTGGATGTAGTGACATTTCATAGTTATTGCCCCAAAACCTCTATGCAGTACATTAGATATGGTAGAACTAATGAGAAGTATAGACAATTAGATGCTTTATGATTTAAGAAGAATTTTGCTTCATTAATAACTGGGGTATTTTGGAGACTTAGCCGTGAATGTGTCCTGTGGATGGTTTCCAAACCTATCAATAGTGGATCTTCAGAATTTGATTTCTGAAGCTGTGTCTAAAACTACCCCGTTTATATTTATTACTGATTTCAGATTATCGTTGTACTTACCAAATAAAAATATCTTTGTATTAGCTAATTATGTTTTTTTTCTTTTTTTATGGATGACTTCTATTGATATACATTCAATTAAATTATTAAACGTCACTGTCGTATCCTCTAATATTTTACATTTGTTTTTGTTACCAACATATATTGCAACTACTCCTGTCGCTTTGTTAGTTTTGTCAACATAGTTTAGATTATAGTCATTTAAATCAAAATCAATTCCTTTTATTCTATTAAACCATGTTTCCGAGCTATGATACCAAATGGATTCAAATTAATGAATACAATTTTGCATAACCGCTTTTAAAAAAAACCAGGAAAGGCAATTTTAATCAATTCTCATGTGGACACCAAACCTGCCATCCTGCTATAGCGTCTTCTTCTTCAGATCAGCATCCTGATTTAGCGTCTATGCAAAGGTTGGAATATGGAATACATTCTTGATGGCCACTTCATCAAGAGGATTTGTGTAGCTGAGGCTGAGGTCAGTGACACACTACTGCCACCCAGTGTTCAAACACAGTATGACATTTACACTTTCAGTTTTTCTTTATTTATTCAGATAAAATACATTCATATTTCAGTCAAGGTTGAATCCATTTTACACATGAATACATACATAATAGAATACAGAGTTAGTAAAGTCACCAATACTAATAATAATAATCTAAAGTTCATGTGACATCACAACATTCCTATAGTTGAAGACTGTGATGGAGGGTAGCTCTGGTAGTAGTCAAAAGTCTTATTTCTCTAACGTCTGGGCAAATCCACTAAAAACCAGTGCATTATGGTCTACTTACATATTTCATGAAATATCTAGAAGCGGTAAAAATGTTAAAACAACATGTACAAGATGTTAGCCAGTGAAATAACAATTACACAACAATGGTGATTAACTACTACTGAAGCCACAGCTGCCCTGGAGCACACTGACAGAAGCGAGGCAACCAGTATGAGCCATGGCCCCTCCCGCCACCACCAACCCTTCACACACACACACACACACCAGACTCATTCTAATGTGGGAAAAGTGTCTTGCCTAAGGACACCAGGTCAGAATTGCATTTTACAGCTGCAGTTGCCCCACTATGGCCCCAGAGGTCTCCCATTACACTAATCAGGCCCTGCCCTGCTTAGCTTCAGACTTCTCACGTGATCTGGATTATACATGCAGCCAGAGCAGAGAGAGATGGAATAACATGTGAATTCTGAACAAACCTATTACACAAAAAGAGCATTTTTGACACTCAGTAATGTCAGTCAGTCTAGGTTTCGGTCCAACATGGACACTGCAAAAACATGATATGCCATTAGTTCATAAATGCCTCTTTTTTAGTCTTAATCAGAGAACATTCTGACTGTTATAAGATTCTGAAATGGGACAATGTAATTTAGTTTTATTTCAAGAATTGTTGCTTTATTTTCTAATTCCAATGGAGACATTCACTGTATTAATTTTAATCATTTTTCTTTGTCCCATTAGAAAATCTTGTTTTAAGGCAGTCAGAATGTGCTCAATTTAAGATACATTTATCCAAATGTATGACCCAATCTTCATCACTTTTTGCAGTGTAAGTGCATTGCAGCAGGAAAGAAAGAGTCTTTGAGATCTACTATGTCACACGTCACATAAATAATGGCCCCTGATGTGAACACAAGATTTCTGTGGTTATTAATAATGCTTAGGGCTTCCCTTCATGGCACTGACAGCAGGTTAATGTCGTAGCATCCATCAACCTGTGAAAACAAAACAAACATGTGGAGACTGACATAGAGGTGTGTCTCGGCTTAATCTGTCTTAAAGAAGAATTATGCATTGTTATTGGTCATTAACAAACATAATGAAACTATTTACTTTGTCATTTCATGCTTTAGAAAAAGAAATATTATCATAAGGAGAAAAGCTATTGTGAAACAAGTGAAAAGGATGAAAAAAGGCTATCGACTTGCTCTACACTGCAAAAGGAAAATTGCATTGGGTAGCATTTCAACAAACTGCTTTTTCTGTATTTCAAGTTGAATTCACCAGTTTTAGTAGTTAGAAAAAAAGATTAAAAAAACATGCAAAATACTAATCTTTAACACATCTGTACAACATTTCTCAGAATTACATTGGTTTGAATGAGAGCTGTCGAAATGATCTTCAAGGACTTACTGTATATCGAAGTCTTAGTTTAAAGGTACATAGGAGGATTTTCCCAAATGGAAAGTACTGCCCTGTCCACTTTTTGAACACAATTCTCTGGTCTTATTTTAACGAACACGTATCACCAGAATGATTGACAATTGGAAGGACCAATAATCTTGATGATCCACCTGGAAGTAGAAAATCCTTCATATATACCTTCAACATAGAGCGCTAATCCTAAGTAACATCATGATAAATACACAGTTTTTCAAATACATAAACAAGAGAATAAGAAACATCTCCACTTAGAAATACTTACTTCAAATCGTCCGATGGAAGCAGAGGTCTGGTTTGTTAGCATCACTTCAGTCAGAGCCCACATCTGCTGGATGCTGGAGGACACGGTGGAGGGATCCGGAAGGCCCTGGAACAGAGATATGTATATTTACTAGTTCAGTAACTAGTTACTACTACTCAGCCACAATTGCACAATATTACGATTCTGACCATATTGCGGTGCAGACAGTATTGTGATTTGATTCTGTGATATGTTGCGATTCATGTTCCTCTTATTATTCAAAGACATTACAAGCATGGAGGAAGATTAGACTCAACTTAAATATTTTGGTATGCACATTAAAGGTAATCTTAGAGGAAAGTGTAAAAACGTTAGGAGGGTACGACTGGTTTTGATGAAGTCATTTTCATACAAACTTCCTGAATTGGATGAATGAACAAAAAACAAACAAAATTGAAATATCTTAACGTAAATCCTCAAAGTAAACAACATTTTTTGTTTACTTTGGGGATTGATCTTTTTTGTTTACTCTTTTCTACTGTATTGTTTTAATTACATAAGTAAAATGTCACAGTGCTGAACAGAATGGATTTTTCCCCCTCAAACTATCGGTAATAATGAAATACAAAAGCCGCAAAAAAGTTTTACCTCCAGATCTGGGTGAAAGTCAACAAGGGTCAGGTCCGACAGCAAATCAGAAACCTCCTTCTTCTGATCCTGAGGCACGCGATACAAGCATTTATTCACAGAAAATATGATCAAAGAGAAAACAAGAACACCTGTATGTGTTTTTAGAGGGGATTGGTCGAAGCAAAAAACTTATTTTAATCTCCTCCCAGCCATTCTACAATACAATACAAAAAAAAAAGAAACACACCTTACAACACCCTCCAACAAAACACAAGACTGCCACACACACACATGCACAATGACTATGTTTATATAATAATGTCAGGTAAATAGCACCATCTGCAGTTTCTGACCTTCACCACAGTTTAAAACAATGTGTTTTATAGTGTAACATGAACCTAGCTTCACTCACCGCTTCTGTGTGGCGATATATTTTGATATCTTCAAGGTTAAAGTTCACCCAGACGGAGGAGGGCTGCCTCAGGATGAATCTGACAGACATCACATGATCAGGAACCACCTGCAACTGGGAGTAAACAAAGGTTGTTACGAATCTTGACAACATCTTAAACATACTGAGAATTTTCCCAATAGACATAGTACAGATGACATATTTGGGTTTTGTTGTTTTTTTTGGCACAAACACACACATTCACACTGAACTTTCACACATGTGTTAGTGGTAGAGGGAACCGTTACAGACACAAGGAGGACATGCAAACGTTACCCAGAAATGCCCTGCCTGGAGGTGGAATCAAACCCAACACCTTCTTGTTGTGACTCTGCCGGACTATTGACCAACACATCAGTTATTTATGAAATGAAAAGTTTAGTTAAGGCTATTGTAACATTGTATTTTTCTGTCCTATGATAAATGTTGAGTGTCCTGGATCATTACCACCGTCCTTAGACCCTCCTGCGTTTGTTATCATTGCATTTCCTGTGTTTGATTCTCTGATCTGTGTTAGTGAATCAACAGCTTTGTAAAGTCCTCAGAGAAACCTGCTGTTGTGATTTAGGCCAATACAAAAATGAATTGAATTGAATTGCATAGGCAAGGAAAGACTCTCAAAACCCAGAGGGAGAGTGGTGAGACCCCTCATAGAGAATCACATTGGGGGGAGGAGGGTTTCTCTCCCATAGACAAACGGCCTTTAGATCCAGAACTGAGGCTGTAGATTCAGGACTGAGGCTGTAGATCCAGGACTGAGGCTGTAGATCCAGGACTGAGGCTGTAGATCCAGGACTGAGGCTGTAGATCCAGGACTGAGGCTGTAGATTCAGGACTGAGTACGTAGAACAAGGACTGAGCAGTACCTGGTGTTATGTTGTACCTGAGCTCTGGAGATGGAGCAATAGTCCTGGGAGCCTCCTTCTGTGTGGGGGTTGTCCATCAGAGCCAGGTCCCTCAGAGCCGTGACCCACTTTGCCGGAGCCTCCTGTCCTGGGACCTTCCTCAGCAAACGCACAGTCACAGAGGCGGTGTAATAGTTCTTAAATCTTATTTCCTCAATCTGAGAAAACACGAGAATTCACACACACACACAGTATGCAGTGACTATTTCAGTCTTTTTTTATGTGTTAATGATACAGACAAAATAATATGTTATAGAAATATCTTCCAGAAGTAGTCAATGTAAATTGTGTATATTTTTCTGTTATATAAAGTTTTAATTTATATTTCTATTAAACAGTAATAGGTCAAAAAACAACAAACAGATTAAACTATGATCTGTGAAACTAAACAATCCTAACTTTACAATCATTGATTGATGTTTTTCTGCTGCTGGACACCTGAATTTTCCAATAGGGATCAAAAAAGTATTGATATTTTTGTCTATCGACTTACATTAACAGATTTCCCAAATGGAAGAGTAACGTCCACGATGCAGACACCAGACTTTGCTGCATCTGTTTTGGAGTCTCCCAGCTGCAGAAACACTGGGGGCTTCACTGTCACAGCCTCTGCCTCCACAACACTCTGCATCATTCTAACTGTGAAACACAACATTATAAAAGCATCAACAGTGATCATCAGTTAACAAATCAACTTTGCTTTGTGTATATTGTGTTTTAGTCCATGTAAAATACAAGATGTGATACATGTTCTTTTCCCATGGGCTTTGGGGCTACATTAGCTGCAATAAACCATACAGTACAACACACTTACTGTACATTCATCAGAAACACAGTAGCAATGTATCTCCAACAGTCCACTCTATCAGACTCCAGGGAAAGTAAACACATCAATGACCTCAGATTAAGATTAAAACATCCGTGTTTCGTCCCACAGTGGGGAAATGTCAGTGTTGCATCACCATACAAAACAGTAGGATTGAAGAGCACACATCACAGGATACACGAACAACAACTCATACTAACATGAAATTAAATCCCTCCTTTAGAATAATAAAGAACCAACTATAAGAATTATCTAACTTTAGCAAGAACAACATCTCTATCGTTAGCAGACAATGAGTGCACTGTGGCAATTGTTACCTGTACTGTTTTAGCTCGTTTTATTTTTGTACTAGTCTGGTTCACACTTGGGACTCTTCCAACCTGAACCTGATCTGAATCGGAAATATGAAAGCATCAAACGACAGCTCAAACAGACAGGTGATACCAAATTCACAAACAGACTGCGAAATCAGCACCATGGACAGCGACTACAGCCTGTAAGAACACTCCCCTGGAACATCTGTCCACGAAGAAGAAAAACCCCCGAACAGTTTAGCTACACATTATCTTATCTTATGACATTAGACAACATACATCTCTCTCCCAGACACAATTTGTTGATATCTACACACCTTTTTGGATTTAAAAGACAATACTCATAAAAGTGGTTAATAGTAAAGAAAGAATACAGCAGCTTTCATGCTACGTTGTGTTTTGCTATAATACTTCCGGGTTGTAACCAGAGCAACCGCAAAGTCTTAAAGCTACAGGAGCGATCTATTTTGTGTTAAATGTCTATGGTTAAATGTAATATATGAATTAACATTAATAGATAGTATGTTTCTATTTAACGTTATTTTACAGATGCATTTTAGAGGTAGATTATCAATTATGATGATCAAAGAGTGTGTGTGAGTTTTAGCGCGGTTGCTGCGTCATAATGGAAGAGACCAGCAGAGGGCAGTGTTGCTCCATGTAAGACACTAAAGACACTGCAGCATATTGCTCAGGAATAAAGAAATCATGTATTTACATCTGTCATTCAAATGTCTTTTGCACAATAACAATATGATTTCACTAATAACATTACAGTAGTTGATTACAGTAATAATCAAACAAAGAATGTCTGATAATTTATGAAAGTTCTCTAAAATAGTTGAGGATTTTTCAAAAACACAATCATAAAGACAGGCTTCTTTTCTGACAATGTTCAAATCCAGGTTAAAAAAGTTTATCTGTGCTAAAACTGAGCGATTTTATCTTTACTCTTTTTTAAATGAGCTCTGATTATTTATGATTTTAATGCCTAGTGTGAATATTTGTTTTGTTCAGCACTTTGAGTTGCCGTGTGTATGAATTGTGGTATACAAATAAACTTGCCTTGCCTTAGCACCACGACTGGTGCCATAATAGTAAAGCAAATAGCAGTTAGCACTTTTGCATCACAGCAACAAGGTCTTGGGTTTGATTCCTGGCTCAGACGAGGAATTTCTGTGTGAAAGTTGCATGTTCTTCTTGTTCGTATCTGCTCCAGCTGCTAAAACTAAAAATGTAAGTACTATATTTGAGTTTATCTGAATGTACTGGAGGGTGATTGTTTGGCGTCTCGCTTTTGTCATCACCGTGTGGGGAGTGAATAGAAAACAGTGTGTCAGTGACCATGTTCTGTGTGCTATATAAAAAAAGATGATGTACTTCCTTAGACAAATTCATGTTGTGTGCAGTAAACACCAGATATGTTTTAATATTTCTTTGTTGAAAAAAAAGAAAAAGAACAAATTGACTTTAGAATGGTAAAACAGGTTCAAAAGAGATAATGCATAGATTGAAGAAGAATCATGGGCTGGATCTGGGCCTGGTCTATGGTCTCTATTTTGGCAGTTGACTCTGGATTTGATTTATTTATTGTCATAATGTCACACGCTAATATTTGATATTTCGCGGAGATAAAAATCTACTGCGTAGTCATGTCACATCCAGGCGGTGCTACAGGATGTGTGACTTGTTACTGTTAATCCTGTTAAGTGTTGCTACAATCTTACTGTCTCTGAATTGGAAAGAATTTTACCACAGCTGCATTCATTGTCACTTTCGCCAAATATATAATCACAAACAAACTGTTAAATTCCTCATATTTGTTTACGACAAACTCTAAATAATGGGAGGCTATCCATCGGTAAAATGTACTATTGTCCGTGTACTATCGTCAACACTTCTGCTTCAGCCTCAGCCATCTTTAATCCGTCAATGGCAAGAAATAAGTTTAGTGTCGGTGTTTTGACAACAAAAAACCTGCTAAACTGATCCAAAACCAGCCCAATTTATATCCACCCACCCAAATCCGTTTATGCCAACAAAAAGGCCACCCAATTAGGCAGAAAACAACGCAGGGGCTGTTGATGTGACTGGCTCTAAAGCATTTTGTTTAAAAGCATGAGTATCATATATATGCATGAGAGCTGGGGTTAGACTGTCAGGTTAATTTTACACTACCCATTATGATTAATATTGCAACAAAACATTATCAGTAAGGGGAAACTAACCTGTACCACCTATTCCACTCGTGCTTGTTGTACCTTGCACATGCCGTTTTAAATGACATTTGTTGTGTACATGGCACTGATCAGCTGTGGCAGGTGCTGGTGCCACAAACGGGGCCTGTCCTTTCGCTTTTCATTTCAGATTCAAATACAATATAGCATTACTGACCTTTGAACAGAGTAAAATATTACCCAGGTTTTTGGCAATATAATAAACTAGAGTCATCACATCACTTTTGGAACACGGTACTCCCAACGGTAGTATTGTGTGTAGAGTAAGACACTGCTCTCACTTTCTGCACGTCAGTCCAAACATTCTATGTATGTTTTCTCAAAGCCTGCAGATCAGTCACTGTAGGAAACCGCCGCCGTTGGGTCTCTTGCAAATAAAACAATTCCTCAGTTCCTGTGCCTGGTGCAGCTGGGACTTAAGAGGACGACCAGCTCGGATTGGAGAGAATAGAAGGTTCCAGAGGGAAAGTAGGATTCGGTCCAAGCTGCAATGTCCTCTGGGTTTATCTCCCGCTCTCACACTGCTGTCCATCTTGCCGTGGCTGCTATATTATTTCCTTTTATCGTTTTACACACATTACATCTCCTCCTCCTGCTCCCTCTTATACATTTGTTTTTTGGTCTGTGCGGGTCTGTGTGTGCCAATGGTCACACTCATCAGTCTGCTTCCTCCTGATAATAAAAAAAAAAGATTAGCAACATAACAAGAGGCAAATGCATTAGTGCAGAGACAGTGGGTGAGTCTGGACTCAGCATGAGGCCTGTCCCCCACGGAGTAATGATGTGGGAGAGGAGGGAGGATGGAGCAGGAGGAAGTGAGGAGTGGGAGAGGACAAGAGAGGAGAGGCAAGAGGAGCGTGGGAGAGGAGAGAAGAGAAAGGAGTTGGATGAGGAGTGGGAGAGGAAGAGGGAAGGAGAGAGAAGTGGGAGAGGAAAGGGGAGGAGAGAGGATTGGGTGATAAGAAAAGGGAGAGGAATGGAGGAGTGGAACGAGGAGAGTGGGAGAGGTGAGGAGAGCAGAGAGAGAAGTGGAAGAGAGGCAAGAGAAGCGTGGGAGAGAAGAGAAAGGAGTGGGATAAGAGGAGAGGGAGAAGATGTAACGTCCAAGTTTGTGTGACTAACCAGTTAGAGTGGACAAAAGTGCAAGAGGCAGGTTGTTTAAAAGGTTAAGATTTATTACAAAAACATTTTAAAATATGTTTATAAAAAACATGTGGACCTGACCATCCAGTTAGCAATGCAGAGGGCTGTATTTGGTGGTCTGACAACATCCACTCCTCACTGGGCCACACCCGTAACTCCCCTCCAGCACACCTGGACAATGCAGTGACAAGACACAGAGAGACCACATTAATAATAAAACTAAACATTGACAACAAAGGCTAGATCTGACGGTGCAGTGTGGTGTGGTGGACAATATCTGGACAATGCAGTGACAAGACACAGAGAGACAGGATGGTGTGCTTCTGGTGTTGCTTAAAACCAGAGTGAGTGTAGTGAGCTGATTACCTCCACCTGTGTGACCACCAGTGATGGGAATAACGGCGTTACTAGTAACGGCGTTACTAACGCCGTTCAACCACAGCTTCTATCACCGTGAGGGCTCAGAGGAGCGCATGTGAGCGCAGAAGTCGACTGCATACAATTCCATCAGAAAGCTCCTTTCTCTTCCTGGTTTATCTGCTAAGGGCTGCTACAGGTTTGGCTAACATACAAATAACACATTTTAAGATAATTTAAAATGCACATAGGGTAATTTTTCAATTACTATAGGAATGATAAGAAAGAGAGGTGAAGTGTAAGACGGTTGATTTTAGAAATTGGATGCACCCGGCTGCACCTAGCAAAACAGAGTAGTTTACAGAGGACACACGCGTTTTGTTTTACTTTTTAAAACTCATTTCCAAATGGAGGATTACATATCTATGCTCAAACTATTATCTGGACTTAAACACAGAACTGGTCTGAACTGAAGTGGTCTGTGCAGGTCATTTATAAGGTAAGACCCATAACTCATAGTTTTGCGTTTTGTATGAACAAACAATGCGGGCATGAAACATATTTTGCTGTAGCCAAACAAATTGTCCACTTGATTTCTATGATATATATGTTCATCTGATTGGACTGAAGTCAGTGCTTCACCGGTGTTTCCACATTCACAGTGGCGGGTGTTGGTGTTTAGTGCTTACAGCACAGTGAGAGATGAAGAGTGAACAGGACTTCAGCAGCAAAACAGCCTTTTCTAGATGGAAAT